TGTCTTTATCTATAGTGATCCTGCCATGAAGCAGCCATCAGTGCTGATGTAAATAAACAAACAAGTGTGTGTGTGTGTGTGTGTGTGTGTGTGTGTGTGTGTGTGTGTGTGTGTGTATTTGTATGGGTGTGTGTGTGTGTGTTACTGTGTCAGAGCGGCCGCTGCACTATCAGGAGAAGGTTCTGCCCATCTTCCACTCTCTGGGCACTGACAGTCACCTGCTGGTCAAGAAGCACTTCTCCATGGAGGCCATGCTGGTCTATCTGGGTAAGAGGAGAGCTGCACGCACACACCGCTTTAAGGGAAACAGCCAAAGAAAGCAGCCACATCACCCTAGCAACCATGAAGCATCACTCTCAGTACCATAGCAACCTCACTCAGTTATGTTATAAAATCTATATTCTTGTGAAAACGGGATTTCGTTGAGACATTTTCCTCACGCTTGCATATATATATATATGTATATATATTAGGGCTGTGCAATATGGACAAAATAATCATATTGCGATTTTACGAACGAATATTGCGATTTTATTTGCGACTTTGGGAACAGTTTTTGCTTTTTCAAACAAGCTACATACAATCTAAAGGCATTCAGTGCACAAGAAGTGCATAACAAAACTATTGAGTCAGTCATTTCTTTGTGCCGTTTTGACCCTTTCCCATAAGGCACGGCGCTTGCAAATGCTTGAACAATGGATGCTAGTTTAGTCTGTTTGGGCTGGCTTTGATGTGTGCTTTTGTTTGTTTCGATGGACTTTGTCGAGATGCATTGATCATGCAGTTTATGACGACACTGTTTTAAGTGTTGGATCAGGTTTGGAATAATCATTTCACAAGTCTTGAAAATTGCCTTGCTCTGTGACACATCCTCTCTCCTGAATCCAAAATACTCCAAAATGAATGTCGTTGAATTTCTCCTCGGCACCAAATCATTTTTATTTTGACCTGCATCCATATTTCCTCCTGCTTGTCATGCGCAAAGTGAGCTGGCTAACATAATAGCTATAATTGCCCGGTGCGCTACGTCAGCTCTGATTGGTTAACATATTAATATCATGCGCACAAGAACATATTCTGAATAAAATTCTAAATAAATGAACAGATAAAAATTGCAGCCTTTTGCGATTTAGAAATTGCGTGTGCTTGAGTTGCGATTTTTTTATTTTTAATTTTTTTGCGCGATTGCGATTAATTGCACAGCCCTTATATATATATATATATATATATATATATATATATATATATATATATATATATATATATATATATATATAAAAAAATATAGATAGGGATATAGCTAGAGATAACAATAAATAAAAATAAAGAAAGATACAGATGCAACCGCACCCCAACTTCACGGTACGGTAATACCTCGGTATGAATGTCACGGTACGGTATTTATTGAATCATTTACAGGAAAAAACAAAACTTATGAAAATACTCCAATAAAGTGCCAAAAGTGTCAATGACATACAAATTAGTCATCTATCTGTAAGCTTTGAAACAGGAACTTCAATTTTAATAACAAAAAAATATTAAACCATGTAAAAAAAAATAAAGTTTCAATTTAGTATTGTTGAAAACTCATCACATTCAACATTTAATCACTCACTCACTTGATAGAGATGGGTTTTAAGGAAAATGATCATATAAATATAATCTGGTAAAAGCTGGTATCTCTGGGTATTTACAATGTCCCCTGCAACAGAAAAAACCCTCTCATTTGGGACTGAGGTTTCTGGGACAGAGATATGACTTGGCCCAGGTTGACAGCAGTGGGTAACGTTGTGCATTGTCTTTCCCCCACTTGAGAGGACAAACCATGAGTGAGATAGAGGTCTCATGTCTGCATCAATCTGAACAGTGTGCTGTGTTTCTGCAGTCCCCATGACTGATTATTACCGTATTCCCCAACTTGCAGGCACGTGCACACACAGGGCTCAACATGTGCAGTGCACATGCCCTTTTTAGTCTTGGATAGAAAGTTCCCTTCCAAAATGATCAAAAGTGCCCCCGCGACGCGACATACCCTCCGTCCCCGCTTTACAGTACGCGCGCGACAACACAGCTGATAAGAACTCGCTCGACAACACGGCTATTCAGTACGCGCGCGACAACACAGCTGATAAGAACTCGCGCGACAACACCGATATTCAGTACGCGCGACAACACAGCTGATAAGAACTCGCTCGACAACACGGCTATTCAGTACGCGCGCGACAACACAGCTGATAAGAACTCGCGCAACAACACGGCTATTCAGTACGCGCGCGACAACACAGCTGATAAGAACTCGCGCGACAACACCGATATTCAGTACGCGTGACAACACAGCTGATAAGAACTCGCGCGACAACACCGATATTCAGTACGCGCGCGACAACACAGCTGATAAGAACTCGCGCAACAACACGGCTATTCAGTACGCGCGCGACAACACAGCTGATAAGAACTCGCGCGACAACACCGCTATTCAGTACGCGCGCGACAACACAGCTGATAAGAACTCGCGCGACAACACCGATATTCAGTACGCGCGCGACAACACAGCTGATAAGAACTCGCGCGACAACACCGCTATTCAGTACGCGCGCGACAACACAGCTGATAAGAACTCGCGCGACAACATCGCTATTCAGTACGCGCGCGACAACACAGCTGATAAGAACTCGCGCGACAACATCGCTATTCAGTACGCGCGCGACAACACAGCTGATAAGAACTCGCGCGACAACATCGCTATTCAGTACGCGCGCGACAACACAGCTGATAAGAACTCGCGCGACAACATCGCTATTCAGTACGCGCGCGACAACACAGCTGATAAGAACTCGCGCGACAACACCGCTATTCAGTACGCGCGCGGCGACAACACCCGCTTTAGGGTTTTTCAGCTCTTTTTCATCCCCGCTTCTAGCAGCACACTCCATTTCCGCATTACTGGATCTGTAGCGACAACAGACCGCAAGGGATTATGGCCAAGCCTGGGCTGATGGGAATTGTAGTTTCCGGTACCTCCCGTTCGCTTCATTCGCCTGAGCAAATTTTCTCAGAAGACCTATAGTTTTACCGAGTCATGCGACTACAGTAATATCGAAAAAAATTAATATTGCGGTATGACGGTATTTACAATACCGTTACATCCCTAGTGGGTGCGACTCAATTTTGGCTGATGCGCCTACATTTTTAAAGTTAGCACCGGTGCTACCAGGCAAAAAGCTTAATTTCGAGCCCTGCAGAGCAGCATGTCTTCTCCAGTAATATGTGTCGGCTCTTTTGGATGTAAGATCTGAATGTTTTTCAGCCCTCCCTCTGTTACAGCAGTGGATTTGCAGATCTTTATTCAATCCTTCATGATTTACCGCGTAAGGATTAATGAAGAGGATTTAATAAACATGTTAGTGTACGCATGTTCTGTACCTGAGCTTGGCAGATCTAGGACGTGTTATATTCATTATAAAGCGCCCTCGGCATGTTCAGGCTGATTAACTCTCAGAACTCCTCCAGTATTATTAATTACTCTGATCAAAAGAGGCTTCTGCTGACAGATTCAGCTTTCCACCGTGCTGAAATCTCATTTCCTCTGTGTTCCTGCTGTACAGGAATAATAATTCAAATAACAGTGTTGAGGGAGTTCAGGAAGTCAAACGACCTTATCTTACATCACCTAGAGGGATGTGCTGAGCAGTAGATGGAGGACGTGTGCTGATGATATTAAACTATATAATAGAGCCATGATGATGTCATTAATATAGTGATTCTGTGTGTGTGTGTGTGTGTGTGTGTGTGTGTGTGTGTGTGTGTGTGTGTGTGTGTGCGTCTGCTGTTTCACTGCATGCATTTGTTTGTGTGCGTATGTCTGCTTTGTGTGTGTGTGTGTGTGTGTGTGTGTGTGTGTGTGTGTGTGTTTGTGTGTGTGTTTCTGTGTCCCTCTTTGTGTATGGGTCTGTCTTTTATGTGTGTGTCTGTGTGTGACTGCATGTCTGTGTCTCTGTGTTTGTGTGTGTCTGTGTGTTTCTATGACTGTGTGTGTGTGTCTGCATGTGTGTCACAATGTATCTCTGTTTGTGTGTGTGTGTGTGTGTGTGTGTGTGTGTGTGTGTGTGTGTGTGTGTGTGTGTGTGTGTGTGTGTGTGTGTGTGTGTGTGTGTTGGTGTGTGTATATATCTGTATGTGTGTGTCATTATGTGTGTGTGACTACATGTCTATGTGTCTCTGTGTTTGTGTGTGTGTCTGTGTTTCTATGATTGTGTGTGTGTGTCTGCATGTGTGTCACAATGTATCTGTGTGTATGTGTGTGTGTTTGTGTGTGTGTTGGTGTGTGTATATATCTGTATGTGTGTTTGTGTGTCTCTGTGTATGTGTGTGTCCATGACTGTGTGTGTGTGTGTGTGTGTGTGTGTGTCCCTGTGTCCCTCTGTATCTCTCTCTATCTGTGTGTGTGTATGTCTCACTCTGTGTCTGTGTGTGTGTTTGTTTATGTATGTATGTGTGTGTGTGTGTGTGTGTGTGTGTGTGTGTGTGTGTGTGTGAGAGAGTGTGTGTGTGTGTCTGTGTGTGTGTGTATGTCTCTCTGTGTGTGTGTGTATGTCTCACTGTGTGTGTGTGTGTGTGTGTGTGTGTGTGTGTGTGTGTGTGTGTGCGTGTGTGTGTGTGTCGTGCAGCCAGTAAAGTGGAGGTGTCGAAGCACGGGATGATGAAGTTCAGAGAGGAGCGCAGTCTGCTGGGTTTGGGTTTGAGCACCGGACACTTTAATGACCGATACTTCATCCTGACCAGCACATCACTGCGCCTCTATAAGGAAGTGCGGGTAAGAGTGTGTGTGTGTGTGTGTGTGTTTATATTTCCTGAAGGGAACCTTAAACTTTATATTACTGCATCATTATGAACTAATCCCACCATCTCTCCAAGAGCGTAGTGATTCTGTAGTTGTTCATGATTATTGTCCAGCATCTCTGAATGACCTCTGACCTCTACCTGACCTCTATGTCACATGAGTAACTGTCCTCATAAAACAAATGTCAGCTAATTGTTACTCACAGTGAGATTCTGCAGCCGTAAAGCCTTTACATTAAGCTTAAATATATTCATAAATGTGTTTTTATTTATCTTATACACACTTTTAACATAAACGTTTTTGCCATCAATTGTTACTTGCGCATTATGTTTACACAATGCTTTTTTTTACATTTTATGAACCTGCATGTGTTTATCTTGCTGCTTATAAAGATGCCAATAAAGAAGACTATACTCTCACTGGCCACTTTATTAGGTACACTTTACTAGTACCGGGTCGGACCCCTTTTGCCTTCAGTTCTGCTTAATCCTTGGTGTTGTAGATTCATCAAGCTGCTGGAAATATTCCTCAGAGATTTTGCTCCATATTGTCATGATAGCATCACACAGTTGCTGCAGATTTGTCGGCTGCACATCCATGATGCCAATCTCCCGTTCCACCACATCCCAAAGCTGCTCTATTGGATTGAGCTCTGGTGACTGTGGAGGCCATTTGAGTACAGTGAACTCATCGTCATGTTCAAGAAACCAGTCTGAGATGATTGAGCTTCATGACATGCTGCGTTATCCTGCTGGAAGTAGCCATCAGAAGATGGAGACACTGTGCTCATAAAGGGATGGACATGGTCAGCAGCAATACTCAGGTAGGCTGTGGCGTTGATGCTCAATTGGTACTAATGGACCCAAAGAAAATCTCCCCCACACCATTACACCACCACCACCAGCCTGAACCGCTGATACAAGGCAGGATGATCCATGCTTTCATGTGTTGAGGCCAAATTGTGAGCCGAGCATCCGAATGTGTCAGCAGAAATGGAGACTCATCAGAGCAGCAACGTTTCTCCAATCTTCTATTGTGCAGTTTTGGTGAGTCTGTGTGAATTGTAGCCTCAGTTTCCTGTTCTTAGCTGACAGGAGCGGCACCCGGTGTGCTCTTCTGCTGCTGTAGCCCATCCGCCTCAAGGTTGGACGTGTTGTGTGTTCAGAGATGCTCTTCTGCAGAGCTCGGTTGTAGTGAGTGCTTATTTGAGTTACTGTTGCCTTTCTGTCAGCTGGAACCAGTCTGGCCATTCTCCTCTGACCTCTGGCCTCATCAACAAGGCATTTGCGCGCACAGAACTGCCGCTCACTGGAGATTTCCTCTTTGTCGGAGCATTCTCTGTAAAGCCTAGAGATGGTTGTGCGTGAAAATCCCAGTAGATCAGCAGTTTCTGAAATACTCAGAGCAGCCCGTCTGGCAGCAACAACCATGCCACGTTCAAAGTCTCTTAAATCCCCTTTCTTCCTCATTCTGATGCTCGCTCTGACCTGCAGCAGATCCTCTTGATCATGTCTACATGCTGAAACGCAGTGAGCTGCTGCCATGTGATTGGCTGATTAGACATCTGCGTTAACAAGCAGTTAGACAGGTGTACCTAATAAAGTGGCCGGTGAGTGTAAAACTATATTAAAAATATACATATTTACTACTTAAAATCCAGAGCAGATAAACAAACCTAGTTGTTTTAGCATCGTTGAGATGTTTTATTGTGTAGTTTTTTTTAATACTGTAATTTTCTGAACTTTTGAACTGTACATAGAGTACAATGCAGTGTAAAAAAAGAGATCACGTTAGTCCATAAATTTCTCACTGCCGTAATGTTTGTAAATACATGTAGAGACCAAAAAAGCATCATTAGGACATATAAAAGAGGAAACAAAATATATATTAACATATTAAAAAATAAAAAAGGACAATAAGATGGAGAAGGTGGAGAAAGAGACCTTGATCATAACAATATGGCTCTTTATTCAAGAATTAAAGACCAATACTGCAATTTTACAGGGATTGTACAAATAATTTCCATTTTATCGATGTTTACATTATCATGTTTTCTTTTACTTTTTAAAAAAAAAATTCAAATTCTTTCTAGTTATTAGGAATTTTGGTAACACTTTACTATACTCTGAATCATTATTAAGCATTAGCATCTAGTGAATTCATTATCTGTTCAGCATTAACTCTACATTTAATAAGCGTTAGTAACTGCAGCTACAAATGCTCTATTCTTGACTTATAAACATATTTAAAATGTGCTTAATAATTGTATTTTCATACTTAGTTTATGATTTATTTTTCATTCCTAAATTAAGTATCACATTATTTACAAACCAGTTGTATTTAAGAGTAGTTGAGGGTTTTTAGGATCATTCAGAATGAGTTAGTAAACGTTTAATAAACTATTGAAATCAACGTTTATATGTCACATTATTCAGCCATATAGTAATGGTTACTATGCATGTTAATAACTGCTTTATTAACTCAACTTCATGCAGTTTTGTGAGCTAATCTAAAGTGAGGACTATTCATGCTTTATAAATCCCTTATAAATGACAAATAAAGGCTCAGTTAAATTCTAAACAGGTAAATGACATTATTCACTCCTCTTCGTTTAAAGATACACAAATGAAACTGCTCTTCAAATGAAAACCTGCTCTAAAATAAAATCACTGTAGAGTTTAAGCATTGCATCTTATTATATTGTTAAATTATTATATTGTTGTTGTTTTATCCAGTTGGATGTCGTATTTTGACACTCCTGTTATTCAGCAGTGTTTAAACTTTACAGTAATTTTACTTTTTAGAAAAGATTGCAAATATTATTGTTCATTTGATCCTGAGGCTTTATTTGTCATTCATAAGGGATTAATAAAGCATGAATAGTCCTCACTTTAGATTAGCTCACAAACTGCATGAAGTTGAGTTAATAAAGCATTTATTAACATATTAGTTAACCATTACTAAATGGCTGAATAATAAGAGATATAAATGTTGATTTCAATAGTTTATTAATCGTTTACTCAACTACTCTTAAATACAACTGGTTTGTAAATAATGTGATACTTACTTTAGGAATGAAAAATAAATCATAAACTAAGTATGAAAATATAATTATTAAGCACATTTTAAATATGTTTATAAGTCAAGAATACAGCATTTGTAGCTGCAGTTACTAACACTTATTAATGTAGAGTTAATGCTGAACAGATAATGAATTTACTAGATGCTTATGCTTAATAAATGATTCATAGTGTGTAGTGATTATAAAGTGTTACTGAAATGTCTTGTTCCAGTTAGTTTAGTAAGTATTTATCTGTTTCAGTATACTTATAGTTACAACCGTAACTGATGTAAATAATGAGAAATATTTCAGCTCAAATCAAATAAATGGATTTCTATTGTAGTTTACAAAATTAACAGTGCTGCGCAAAGATTAATCGCATCCAAAATAAACGTTTATTTTGACATAATATATACAGCTGAAGTCAGAATTATTCGCCCCCTGTTTATTTTGTTCCCCAAATTCTGTTTAACAGAGAGATTTTTCCAGCACATTTCTAATCATAATAGTGTTAATAACTCATCTCTAATAACTGATTTACTTTCTCTTTGTCATGATGACAGTAAATAATATTAGACTAGATATTCTTCAAGACACTTCTATACAGCTTACAGTGACTTTTAAAGGCTTCACTAGGGTAATCAGGGTAACTAGGCAGGTTAGGGTAATAAGGCAAGTCATTGTATAATGTTGGTTTGTTCTGTGGATCAGTGGTACTTAACTAGTTTGGCCATGGGACCCACATTTTTACATGGTCATCAAGCCATGACCCAAATTTTTAGGAACTATATCACAATTTTAGGAATTATACTTAATTTGTAATTATTTGTTAACATAAACAAGTAGTGACAGATACATCATTACAAATAAACAGTGTTTTATTGCTGTCATTTAACAAAATGTGTCAAATTATAGAAATATTACAAAGTAAACCCAAAAATACTGTTAATAATAGACTGTTAATAAAACATGTTTTCTGGTTTCTACATGTTGTTTTAATTTAGAAGGTTTCATGCCCTCTTATGAGAGCACCTCACTACATATGACACTGATGCTTTAAGTCTTTTTTGTTGTCAATATATGTATTTATACTTTACATATTCGGGGTCGCACTTGAGCTTCGGCATATTTGTTGCAAATAGGTAGGGTTGTCGTGCACGCATTTCAAAATAAAAGTCCGGTATAAGCAAAATAAGTAAAAAATTAAACTTTTGTTGTTGTTTTTTTTGACCACACACTCTGCGACCCACTGAAAATGTTCCTGCGACCCACTGAAAATGTTCCTGCGACCCACCAGCTGAGAAACACTGCTGTGGTTATTATGAAAATAATTGGGTTAATAATATTGACCTTAAAGTGGTGTTTAAAAAATTAATAACTGCTTTTATTCTAGCTGAAATAAAACAAATAAGACTTTCTCCAGAAGAAAAAATATTATAGGAAATACTGTGAACATTTCCTGAATCTGTTCAACATCATTTGGGAAATATTTAACAAAGAAAAAAAATTGAATGAGGGTCGAATAATTCTGACTTCAGCTGTCTGTGTGTGTTATATATCTATTTATTATGTATATGTGATGCACACTCATAGATAGAAAGTAAATTATACCAAGGTGTTTTGTCACATAGATATTTAAATGCATATATAA